CTGCCCAGACACACAGCTAGCTACTGCTCTGATGTCGCACACAAGTAGAGGGGTTTGCTTTGCCAATTCAGCTGCTGGCTAACTAGTGCAATGCCCTGCCAGACTCTCTGGAAAGGGTGCCGCACGTCCCCCTATCGCGGCCTCCTCGCAGAGCGGGGGAACGTGACACCCCAAAAGGGGGCTGGAAGGACTTGGCAGAGCTGCCCAGTCTGTGCGGAGAGATGCTGAGCTCCGAGCCGAAGGTGCGAGGCCTCCGTGGCTGCCCATGACAGATCTCTGCCCTGAACAGGCAGCTGGTTTCTGCCTCTAATCAGAATTTGGCAGAGGATCCTGCAATTCAAAAGGTTTATGTTTCGATGGCACTTACACAGCAGAAAACTTATTGGAAGCAAGTTCCCCCAGGGGCATCGGCACTGGCCTGAAACGCGCTGTTTATTAACTTCAGGGAGATAGCTACAGTGGTATTAGACCACATCCAATTAGCGAAGCCTACAGGAATATTTGCACTCTTAAATCTCCCCCTTTCTGAAAGGGTTAAAGCTTATTATTAGCATATAATTTACAGGTCCTTTCTCCCAGGAAAGAAATAATGCACAGTAAATGCCACATTCATTTTAATAATACATGTTACAGTCTGTGCCCAACATCTGCACAAAGGTAAAGCAGACAGATTTTTTTGACATGTCCCACTCTGCCATCCAAACACAGGCTTTTTGTTTCTTAAGTGACGGAAGGTTTAATCAAGAAAGCAGGCAATTCATCAATCGCAACAAGGCTGCTTGCATGGCCCTGACAGCACACACATGGTTTTATACAGAAGAAGCCTGGCCACCTGTCACCAGCACCTTTTACATCAGGATATACAAATACGCCGGGCGATCAATCCTCCAGCCTTTCCCATTCATTTCTTAGTTTTCTTATTATATTTTTCTTTATGCTGGATGTTGTCCTCATCCTTTGCAGGGAGAGATGGAGAGACAAGACGAGCTATGGCTGTTTATACACTATCATAAAAATTTATATACCCTTAAAGTGACTTATTTCCTCTCTATTTGAGTACCATTATTATAAATAATTTTTCACTTCGTTCAGGAATTTTCCCCGTATGTTATTATCTGTAGCTGCCTGAGAGGGCTCTCTCTCTCTCTGTCCTTGTGGCTTTGATAAGCAAAGCAATATGTAGCTAGAGGATGCTGAGGTCTGAAATGAAGGCAGTATGTAGTCACAACAACATCTTAATTAAGCTGAAGGCCACGAAAAAGGACTGAGTTGTAAAATACCGAGCAGTGTTTGCTGATGGCTCGGTCGGGAACGAGGCCTTCCCTTCCCTAATCAGGTGGACGTTTGAACACGCACGGAAACCCGGGTTCAGGATTCAGGGCAGCATCCCCAGCTGCAGGCAGAGACCCTTGGCAGATGTAGCAGTCACTAATCCAAGTTATAAACAGTGGCGTGCTGGTCTCAGAGGCGCGATGGCGGGGAGGAGGGGGCGGAAATCTTCAAAGCGGAGCAGACCAACCCAGCCCTAATTCCAGCCGAGGCCCAGCGGCCGCGTGCTGAGCACAGCCGCTCCTCCCGCCCCGAGCAGTGGTGCTCTCTGGGCTGTCCCTATGTACAGCAAGACCTGCAGAGGAACTTACTTGCTGAACTATCTTGCAGTCAGAGTCCCTCTAATGCACTGGTCATCCACACTCAACTGCCAAGACAGAAAATACCCAAGGAGGAACTAAATCAATCATTAAAATTTCCACGTCTGTTTTCCCTTTAATGCTTGGCTCGGAGTCATTCAACTGCAGCAGAAAGGGACACAGCCCAGACTCGAGTGGGTTGTGCTGGTTTACACCGGCAGGGGATGGGGCCCGGCCTTGTGTGCTCAGAGCGGGACAAGCATTGCACACATTCGGGAATTGCACTGCCCTGTGCGCGAGATGAGATCTGCCTTTAAAATTAAACAAAAAAAAAAGTCCAGACCAAGTGCTTGAAGCTCTCAATACGGGGGGAGGGGGAAGGAGAAAGAGAGAGACCCAGGATATTCATAATGAACTGCCCATCTGCCATTTACATGAGGACTAGATTAAAGCTGGGGGGGGGGGGGGGGAAGCAGATATTCAAACATCATCAATTATTTGCACTTGCTGGTGCTTTCCTACGATGCTGTCAGAATCACTTGGTCAGGAAAGCTCCCAAGTCCATGACAGCCACGGCAGCGAGCCGGGCCTCCTCTACCAGCAGAGCAAGCAAGCCATCTACAGACTCCTGAACACAGCTAGGCGAGTCCAACCAGCCAACAACCAGGATGCCATGCAAGGGGACTGGCAAAGAAACGCATAGTTTACCCAACCAGGTATACGGAGAGCCACCTTGCGCTGCACCTGACCACTGCCCGCAGGCTGGGAGGGTATCGCACACCAGAGCCACGGCCCGGTGCAAACAGGAGGGAATTTGGTAGTGCAGAGCTTCCTTGACCCTGCGACCAGGAGAGACCCTGCTATTGTCTCACTGGACAGCGCCGAGCGCACAGCTGAGCTAACCTAGGACATGCATATTTCACGGACACCTGGCTGCCACTCCACCATTCGCTCCAGAGGAAGAACAGGTTTCAGACTCGCTTCGTTTCCATACACCTATCGCTCAGCTGGTCCTGAGGCTTAATGAAACAATGCATATCTGCGAACAGAACTGCATTTCAATTGCAACCGAGTCCAACCTGCGCACGTGTGCAACTACACGGTGACCAGAGAGCCAGTCACTTCTCTAGCACCTGAAAATACTCTTGTCCTTCCAGAGCAACAGAACTGATGAGAAACACTGGCTCACACCAGCTGCTAAGCAGCAGCAGGGGGTCTGGACCGGGTGGGATGAGCGCTTCTGGGGCCTGAGGAGCAGCTCTCTTGGACGGTTCATGGCACGGCGGCCCCTTCGGACATCCAGACTCTTTGCGCTTGCTCCTGGTACCTTCAAGATTACCCGCCAGCATTGGCTTTCAATTGCTCTCTGCTGACGGTGGAGTTCCCACCCAACAACTGTAGCCAGCGTCCTCTGCAGGGCTGTGTTTCATCACCAGTATCTACCGCTGCCTTTCCTCCAGGGTGAGCTCCAAGACTGCAAGGCGGGACAGCAAGCCCTGGAGTGTGTCACAACCAGCACCTTGCCTCAGCAAATCTCGATCAGAACAGAGCAATTAGGCGAGTCCGGCGGAAAAGCACTCATAAGGTTCCTGTTACCACGGCAAGATGTTAACGCTGTGCTGTAGATAAACTCGATCAACTCAAAATTACACAGACGTAACAGGAAATTTTGGAATGGCTACCACTGCGAGTCCTGAGGTTAACTTACCTTTATAATGTTAAAGCACACAGAGGGAATTGTCACAGACGGCACCTCATCACGAGGGCTGAAAAGGCAGCCGTGGTCAGAAGGTATGCGAGAAGAGTCCTGCCAATGCACAGGATGTTTCGCATTATGAGACCTTTTCTGTGGAAATGTTCCACAGCTGCAATAGCCATTACAACATACGTAAGCACAACAACTTGTATAACCATGTGCCTGGAGGAGGATTTGCAGTTGGAAGAGAGAGGCACACACTTTGATTGAAAGTTACTTGTGCAAACGTTGAGATCTATTACCTTGCCTGGTTTTATAGGCTTGATTTGCATTTTGCCTGTAAACATCTGGTAAAATATTCAGGATCTGTGTAAAATAGGTCATCTTTCCAAGCTTGTTATACTGCAGGAAGCAGCAGTCCACAGGAATTCCTGCAGCAAAGGGTCTCTTAAGCAGCGCTCAGGCAGAGATATTTCCTCCCTGCTCACATGTGCGCTTGGGGCTTCATCAAGTGGGAACTCATGGCCTTCCCTTCCCTCCCCCCTCCAGGACTGTCTTGTGGGAACACAAGAACACACTTCCCCTACATTTCCAAATCTATTAGGGTAGAAAAGTAACGAGAAAAACTAATACTGACAAGAATTATGCCATTGTTATATTCCATCTATTTAGGAACCTGAAGCTGCAGTTTTAGTGAGAGATTACCTTTTAAATAACCATTTGATTAGGGTACATGAATTAGTGCCATGTTCCCATGTTAGAAGTGTCACTCACTGTTAACAGAAAGAGCTTCTGAATGGCTGAGCTTTGCCACCTTCTCCTCCCTTATTATGCACAGGCACTACCTCCTGCACAGCCCGGCTGGTGCTCTGCACACCCCTGCAGACCAACCACAGCCGGCGGGGAGCGGGGGGCGACCTCCAATTTGGCCAGGCTGAGTTTAAACGACACGCCTTCCTCTGCATGCAAACATGAGGCACTGCAGAGAAAGCGACGGCTAATCACACCTGATGGCAGTCGTGCTAAACCCAACCGAGAAGGATTTCTGAATCACGGCACTGCTTTGGACTGTCATAGTTGCTGTGGGTTATGAGACAAGTCCAGGAGAGTGGAAAGAACGAAGGGAGCGAGACAGAACAAGCCACAAGAGGAGAGAGAGAAATTCAGGAAGACAAAGCCCTTAAAAAGAGAAACCCCCCAAGCAACCTGGTGTTTTCCGATCTACCCCAACATGTGGCGGGGACTCGATCTGCACCCGCTACACAGCGCTTGGGTCTGGGAGGAGCTGTTTCAATTCGATGGCGGTGCTGGAGGGGGCTGGGACACGAGCAGAGCATCTGTGAATAACGTCTGCCTGGCTTGGAGAGAAGATGTGGCTTTGATGACTTACCTGTGAGGACCATGGGAAAGGAGAGTGGGGACAGGGGGCGAAGCAGAAGTAGTACGAGGCTTAACGAAAACTTTCTAGCAATTCCCCTCCCCGCGCCCTCACTCCCGGACTGCACCGCACCGGGAGCAGCAAGGCTCCCCGTCAACTACGCCCTCCTGCTCCTCCTCCGCGGCGACTCCTCAGGCCACACGTTTCTGATGGTGGAGCGACAGCGGCAGACATCCTGGAAGGCTGGTCCATGGATGCTGCGTGCCTGGCCCGGCCCTGACAGAATCCGCGAGCTCACCTGAGATGGCATACAAGTTCGAGTGCTGGTGCTCCAGGTCGAGTCGTGTGCTGTGGCCTTTGCCTCGGAAGCTGGCAGGGAGCGTCAGGGATATGTGCCTGTGGGAGCAAGAGGGGAGAAACGAGGGGACGTTACTGCAGAGCAGGAGGAGCCGCAGCCTTCACTCAGCCTCCCGCCCCTGCACGACTCCAGTCACGCGACATGGCGAACGGCGACTCGGAGCCTGCGAAGGGCAAGATGGGCCCACGATGGGTAAGACAGAGGTGGGGACACGCTCCTCACTCCTGACCAGCCAGCTCGTCAGGGGACGCATGCGAGGAGCTGCCCGCTCAGTCCAGCACTGCAGCACCTACAACGAGTGCCGGGTGCCTGGGAGACTGCACGCTGCAGCCCGTCAGGAGCGCTGCCTGCGAGGATGCAGGCCCTGCCAGCAGCCCGCCCCAGGGACAGGTGCTCCCGACCTAACCGGGAGTCCTTGGGTCGGGCCGGGGAGGCCTGCGTGAGAGTGGTTCAGAGTCAGCAGTCATGTGGAGCGCAGCTCCCCTGCTACAAGCACACGCAGGCTTGGGCAGGGTTGCTTTTCTCCTGCTTTCGGAGCTTGGAAGCCATCCGACTCCTCTTCACCGACCCGGGGCCTCCGCCATGCAGCACTTGCAAGCCCGGCCAGCCCCGGCCTCAGGACGATGCCCCGAGTGCCGAGAGGAAACCTCTCCGCGTGGGAGGCAATGCCCAGATTGGGCTGGAGAAGGCAGCGATCTCCCCAGAACCCACGGAGCCGAAACCTGAACCCCTCTGGCCTGGGGGCCAGAGAAGCAGGTCCTTTCTGGTGGCTGCTGGCACGCAGATGAGTTTCAAAACCTGGAGTCGACAGGTTTATTCACACCGGCTGTTTGGCAGCAGGGGGAAAAAGAAGACCCAAATCACCCATTTGAGAGCCACGGAGCCGTGAGGGTAAGCCCCGTCCAGGGAGCCAGGCTCAGACTTGCTGTCGTGGGACACCGTGTCCCACTCAACGCCCAGGCCTCTCGCAGGGGCAGCAAACCAACCCGCCTCCCACGCTCTGTGCTACGGGCAGGGCACGGGAACGCCAGCCTCACGTTTCTCCTGCCGCCTGCTCCAGCCACGTGAACGTAGGAGCAACGCGTCCCTCCTACGTCAGCCTTTGGTACTTGACTCAAAGTGGCTGCTAAGCTGAACCAGAGACAGCGCCAGACAGAAGCCTTCAGTTACTGGAGCCAATACTGGCTGCGTCCAGATTTATAGGCCTGGATGGGGGAGTCCAGCTTTTCCTTTGTAACTTAAATCTGTACTTTCTAGTGCTGATTCCAGGTCTGTGCAAGCTTTTATTATGCACCATAACCTTTATGGACCCCCTGTCACTTGTGACAAAGATGTGTGGCCCTCTTCAAAACAGTGACTTGGGAGCACGCAGGAACGAGGCGGCAGCTGTCGGCGCCCCGCATTTTGGAGTGACGCAAACAAGAGCAGGAATTTTGAGAGGCTCTTTTACCAGAAAAGCAGGTTACCCTTTTATTGCGGTAGCTGCCATACTCGCAACAAAGAGCACCCTGAACCGGCCAGCACGGAGCATTATTACACAAATCAGCTGGAAACTTGTACCTTCGAAATTGGACACATTTGTAAAGAACAGAGAAAGCCTAAAAACATGATGTTGGTGACGATGAGTGCTCCAGAATGTAAGAGGTAAAACGCCACTCTGAATGTGTTTGTACTTCCAGACCTCCTTCAAATTAAAAATCAAACGAGAACGACCAAGTGAAAACATCTTCAAATTTGGCCAACAGGTTTCCTTTCCAAACACAATCCATATGGGGCTGCCTTTGCCAGTAAAGGCAGGTTTGTCATGAACACTCTTCGGATATGAAGCCTACCACTTCTATGAATTATGCACTTTTCATTCGGTTTTAAATGAAATCACCCAGAAATGTACTTCTGAGACCTCCAGATGGCTAACAGTGCTTTCTGAATGTCTCCTGCTTCTGGTGGGGCCTGTCCTCATCGTCCCTCTGCGTGCATAGTCGTACCGGGGAGGGCCGCAGGAACTGCACACAGCAGACCCCCACCAAACAAAGAGCACGTTTCTCAACAAGGCGTTTCAGGTGTTTGCTGCCACCTGATTAAATCAGGCATCCACGGTGCAGGGAATTCACCAGGGAGTGCCAGCTTTGGGTCTGCTCCGTGTGAACCACGCTCCTCAGGAAACGGTCTCAGACAATGGCAGACCTGCCTGCTCTGGGACCAAGCTGCGGGTCTGGAAATCACGGGTCTATGCAAGCAATAAACCAACTCCTCTGTAGGCAATCGTACAGCTGACACTGCTGGGAGTGCAACTGTCCATAAAGCCTGTGGCCCTCCAAGAGGAATTTCACTGAATCCTTGACTTGGGACATGCCCTAGGAGTGAAGTCCCTGATCAGGACCACGTCCTTCCAGCAGATCATGCAAATGACACGTATGTGCAAGCGGCACGTACGCTCCATGGACGTACTGGAAAGGAACTGTTCGCAGTCTCACAGGCTCTGACCACGCGCAGCGGAGCAGTGGTAGGTCGTGTGTTCAGGTCCCACAGAATGAGGCCCGGAAGGGCCCTTCTTGTCCAACCGCCTGACCGAGGCATGGTCATCCCTGTCTTGCCATCTTGCCTGCTAGCTCAGCACCACATCCATGATGACTTTGGTGCATTTAAAATGAAACATAAATCGGATCTGGCATGGTCAGATTTTTGAGCGACGTATGGACATTAAACATGAACTTATCATTTGATTTTGCCTTTGGTGACCATTCAGGAGCCCGATTTGCTTCTCATGAGACCACATGCCACAAAGAGCTGCTCCAGCGCAAGTGGTATCACTAACCTAATGCTGTAGGGCCCTGCGCACCACCTGACGGGGCATGTTCACAAAGAAGAACAGATGTGCTTGGATGCTCCCTCCCCGTTCACCTAACCCACTGCCAGCACCCACTCTCTACAGCGCGACACACGGGGCTCGCGCTTGCAGGAGTGGGAGCACATAATGGCTTCTCTGAGAGGGAAATGCAGCTGCAAGACCACAAGGCAGGGTAACACCGAGAGCAATAGATTAGAGCCTTTCAGTCTAATGTGTTTTTGGGGGGTTTTTTGTTGCGGTTTTTTTTTTTTTTAAGTGTCACATTGGGAAAAACCAGGAAACAAAGCCTAATTTATTTTGAATTAATGCAAGGGTTTGGCCAGGATCAATATAAAACTTATACCTACTAACTTGATTGCATAATGCCTTTTCCTTATGGCCTGTAAAAGCCAAACCATTTTGCATGGTAGAAAGAAAAAAAATAGGCTGCCACTGAAAGCAAGAAAATCCCAATTACAAAGTCCCCAAGTTCCTAAACACATATCGCGAAAGTATGCACAGCTCTGCGGCATATGGCAAATCAATTACTGGTTGAAATTTTAAAACAAAAACATGGTAAATGTGCTGCAGAAATAATCAAGAACAACGGTTTGGTTTAGATTACAGTGGCCACTAGAGTTTTGAATACAATTAATCATCATTCCAGGCAATGGGAAGCCATATTGACACTTATTCCTAATTTGAATATTTAATTAGGGTGAAGTTCTTCATCAAATTATCACAGAACTGGGAGGAAAGCCTGGAAGATTTAAACAATTACTACTTTAACCCATTACCAACTGCTTACCTGTGAGCTCACGAGCGTGCATACCCGTGCTGCGAGGGAGGAAGACGTTTGCACAGAAAGAAGGGAATTCTTGATAACCCACGGACTTGACCTGAGCAAGGGAACGGCGCTGACACTTACCGCTGTGTGGTTTCTACTCAGAAGAAGTCAGTCCGAATGTGGTTTCTGATGCTCTGCACACCTGGGACTACTTAACATTAACCCTTAGCACAAGGTCTTTAATTAGCCGGCAAGAACTTCTCCCATGCCAAGCCTGCCTAGGGAGCAAGACCTCTGGGCACGGCCAGGTTAGGACGTGCACAGCTTGGGCTGTCAAGCTGTCGGGACAGCTGCAGGGTACACGGGGGGCGCTGCCAAAGCGGTATAGCAAGGTGGGGTTAGCAGGGGCTTCTTGCTGCGGTTGCCACTGGCAATGGACAAACCAACTGCCTACCCACAGGCCTCGCTCTCCCGGGAGCGTGGGCAGGGATGGAGCAGGCATTTCTCTGCTCAGCGCCTCTGCTGTTTGCTCCTTCCTATCAGCATCACTTTGCAGCCTGGCGACCCGTCCCGGAGACCTCCTGCATGGCTCGCAGCCCAGTCAGCGCCACCGCTCACCCTCGGGAAATGAAGGCGGCTGGCTGAGGCAGCTGAGGCAGGTTTATCAGACGCTGCAGAGGTGGGGGGCATCCCTCCAGCTGCAAAGGAGAGGGGCTGCCGGGCTGAGCGTGAGCCGAGACTGCTGGTGCATCGCTGCTGAACAGCAGGCACCCGGCCTACGCGCAGCTCACCTTTGCTGCCAACCATGCCGTGTCCCCAGGGCAGGCAGGGACGCGGCTGCTCCCCGCCCCAGCGGAGCAGACGCCTAGTCGGAGGCACTCCACAAATTGGGGCACGAGGGACTGGGTTTCAGGTGCTGCTCGCTCCTGTGGCCCAAGGCCAAGCGCACAGGGACCCGCGCACCGCCAGCCCTCCCCAAGCCATGCCATGCTGTCTGCGGGCTTCCTCTCTGCGGAAGCCAGCTCCGCGCTGGAATTCGGAGCCCTTCCTTTCTGCGTTACATTAATCCATATAAGAAAATCTCTTTTAATGAGGAGTGATATAGTTACAAACTCTCTAGAGCCATAATTAGAGCAAACTAATTGAAGTTGTGTTTTGACACACTTTCCAAATTCACGGGTGCTGCATGACATATTCACAACACTGTTGCTGCACAGCCATGGCGACAGCAAAATGATTAGGCTAATAACGCTTATTTGCATTCTTATCATGCCAGCAGCATGCCGTTAAATACTGTTTCAACCATTGCTCGTTCACTCTGAAAGTTTCCACCGAAAGATATTAACAGTAATTATTAGTACTTTGCTGGAATCTCTAATGTTAAGGAATGGCAACTCACATTAACATACACAAATGCCAATTAT